CGGGAAACCTTTATCGACTGCAGCGGAGGGTTGGACACCCTCGCTGGTGGCTTCCGCTGCGCGCATTGAGTGCACGACCCCAGGAGATCCCCCACGTCCCTTGCCATGCCCGGCCAGAAGAAATCGAGCTGGAGCATGGCAAGGGTCTTGTGAGTCCCCAAGTGCAGGAGCCGCTCATGCGTAGCCCACACCACTTTACCCCTCAATGCTACAGGCACCACCAGCCGTTGGCGGCGGGATTTCCCGTCCCAGTGCATTAAAAGCCCCTGGAACAACCCCCACGAGTCAACGTTCGCCGCCCCCTGACCAACCCCCCCAATGCGACGGCGCAGAGCGAGGAGGGAGGTGTCCTCCATTTGGAGGCGTCCCCACTCCGCAATGGACAACCCCAGCAAGGAATCCCTCCCTTCTTGCTCGATAGGACCCGAAGTTGAAGGCGCATCGGCGGCAGCCACAAGGACCGAATCCGTGGTCACGTTCGAAGGCCTACAACGCCCCGAACCCAAGAGGCAAGCGCACTCTGAAGTGGGCGGCAACCGCGACAGAGCGTCAGCATTCGTGTGGCGGACGCCCTTATGATATGTGGTGACAAAATCGTAGTCTTGGAGAATCTCCAACCATCGAGACAACTGTCCCGATAGTTATTGAATCCGCAAGGCGTACTGCAGCGCCGCATGATCTGTACGGACGGTGAAACGCCGACCGTACAGATACGGGCGGTACTGCTGAATGAAATAAACGATCGCCAATAGTTCACGACGGGTAACGCAGTACCGTTGTTCCGCCGGAGACAACACCCGACTACCGTAAGCCATCACATGCTCTACGCCCCCAATGCCCGTGTTACTTGCGTCTGTATTGAGCAAGAAGGGTTGTGAGAAATCGGGATAATTCAACGGCGGAGCCCCCACCAGGGCATCCCGGAGGGAGCGAAAAGCAGCCTCCTCCTCCGGTCCCCAACGAAACCTGACTCCCTTGGACGTCAAGGCATGCAAGGGTTTCGTGATCATAGCGAAGTCAGCCACAAACCGTCGGTAGTACAACGCGAACCCAATGAAACTCCTGACCTCCCCCACCGAGGTGGGAGTCGGCCAAGAGCTGCCGCATTTCGTTTTGGCGGGATCAGTGGATATCCCCGAGCGTCCAACAATATGACCCAAATACCGCACCGATTCGCGGAGCAAATGGCACTTCTGCGGTTTAAATTTCAAATTGGCAGCCCGCATTTTGAGAAAAACAGCACGCAACCTCTGGAGGTGTTCATCGAATGTTTTGCTAAAGACGATGACATCGTCCAAGTAAATTAAACACGAATCCCATTGCAAGCCCGCCAAGACCAGTTCCATTAACCGCTGAAAAGTTGCCGGCGCGGAATGTAAGCCCATCGGCAAGCGGTTAAATTGGAAAAGGCCGTGCGGTGTACGGAAAGCAGTCTTAGGTTTAGATTCGTCATCCAGAGGAAGCTGCCAGAATCCAGAAAGTAAATCCAGGGTGGAAAAGAATCGCGCCCCCGCCAAGGCATCAAGCGACTCATCCATTCGAGGAAGCGGGTACGCGTCGGCTACTGAAATTTTGTGCAACCGCCGAAAGTCGACACAAAACCGCAGTGAGCCGTCGTGTTTTTTCACCAAAACGATCGGTGCGCCCCACGGGCTGTTGGAAGGGGATATGATATCGGTGGCTAGCATGTCATCAACGGCCGATTTGACATGATCATTTTCGGCGGGACTCAACCGAAAGGGAATTTGGCGGAATGGCGCGCTGTCACCCGTGTCAATGTGGTGTCGCAGCAATTTAGTACAACCAATATCAAATTTGTGCTGACTAAAAACGTCGGCAAACTCTTTCAGGAGAACTCGCAGCCTCTCACGCTGTGAGTCGGACAGGTCCACTGATCCTGCGCAAAGCGCATCCAGCCATCCGTCATCACAGTCAGAATGCGGTCGCGACGGATGATCGGTGGTCACCTGACCCACGAGCGGTTCCTCATAGGGTGCCGGCGTTGCGTGTGCAAGCACGGTCCCTTGAGGAACCACGGCCGTTCGCGATCCCACATTAAGGACTGCAATGAAGGGGTCCCCATCCCCTTTCACCATGGTCTGAGCCGCAAGCAAATCGGGTCCATTGACCCCGGCTCGAGATGGTCCCAACAAGACCCCCCGATCCGCAACCCCCTCAGCAAACGGCCGACGCAACCTAAGGGGGACGAGCATCTGAGCTCCCGGGGGTACGCGTACAGTTCTCGCCACGAGCGCCTGCACGGTCGCAAATGCCCGACGCTCCGTGGCGGGGGAAGACAAAAATGTTACACGTCGGCCCGATGGGAGTTCGATGCACCCCTGGTCGATCAATATACGGATAGGCATTTTGGCCAAGAAATCCGTCCCCAACAGGCACGGAACCGCCAGCGAGGAGGAAACCAATACAGGCCCGGATAATTTTATGTCCCCAATGCAAATTTTGGCGCGGATCTGCCCAATGATGCCCAGCGAGCCCCCGTTAGCAGCATAGCATGGCACGTCAACGGGGAGCAAAGGACGGCTTTGAACGGGAAGGATGTTATAAATCAAATCAGATATAATGGTCGCTGATGCTCCCGTGTCAATTAAAATCCGCACCTCAACCCCATCAATGTGACCGACCACGACCGACGACCCCGCCGACGCTGCAACGACACGATGGGCGAGCTCCGACCACTGGGCCGGTTGGAGCGCTCGCCGCATTTCAGAACATTCCGACGCAACGCCCGGCGATTTTCGAGCCCTGTTTGTTTCAGCGAGTGAGTGTGTGTCAGATGTGTGCACGGGCCAAACGTGTGAGGTGCCACGACTCGCCGTATTTCTCTGCTGGAGCTTGGGTGGAGGCGGCGCGGCGTCCTGACGAGGTGTCGCCCCGCGCTGACGAGGAGCCCGGCATCCTGAAGCCACGTGGCCTTGAAGGCCACAGTTGTAGCAGTGTGTGAGCGCCCCAGATGGCCTGGGCTGCTCCTGGCGGCTCGGTCCGTTCCGAGCCTGTGGTCCCGCAGATCTCCATTCCCCCCGCCGCTCCACCCCGCAGACGTCCTCCGATGGCAGGGTGGGAGCCGCCATGGCATGGCCGGCCACCCCCTTGGTGGCCTTGCGACGCAGGGACCGCAAGCCCCCGTGGATGTGGCGTGCGACCAGCAAGGAAGACATCTCTGTGTCGTCTTGAGCCAAGACAGCGACGTCCAGCTCGTCCGCGAGTAGCAACAGCTTTTCCGCCACCATAGCGTCCACTCCCTCCTCGTCCATCCGCGGAAAAGCTGCCTTCGCCAGGGCCAGGAGAGCCGTCCGGAAAGCCAGAGGCGATTCGTTGGCACCCCGATGGCGATCGTGGAACAGCTGTCTGCAGTCCGAAGGCGGGCCGTAGACAGCAGACAGCAGCTGCAGCGCCAAGTGCAGCGTGGCGCGCTTTTCCTTAGGCGCCGAGGTGAGGATAGCCAGGGCGTCGTTGTCCAGCATCGCCGGCAGCGCACGTAGTGCTTCCCGTCCGTCCAGTTCGCCATCTCCTGATGAGCGAGGAACCGTCTCTTGAAGCCACCCCAGTCCCCGTCCGCGTCCACGAACTCTTTGAGAGGCGGCAGTCGCTGCTGTAACGCGACGTCCGTGGTTGTGGATCGCGCTTCGTCGTTCCCAGCACTCGGTACAGTGGGGGCGGGCTGCGCGTATGGCATCGCCGGTCGCTCCGTTGTCGACGCGCTGGCCGGTGTTGATGATGTCACGGCTTGTGCTTGGCCCTCAGCGGTCACCTGACGTGGGCCGGCCCCGCCCTCTGCTCCCACTGTAGCGATGGCGGGAAATTTGACTGCGAGCCGCGTCGGGGTGGCGGGAAACGGCGCTGCGCGTCGGCTGCCGTCATCGTCCCGCGCAGCCTCTCCAGCCCCCAGCCGCGTGATCTCCTCCAACGCGGCGGCCGCAGCGTAGAACAGCTCCGCCAGGCGGGAGTGAGCCAGCCGAAGTCCCTCGGCCGACGCACCCCACCCTTCCTGTCGTAGCGGCGCGGGTGTACTCGGCCCCGGCTGCTCGGATCGGACCTCGGCCATCTCTGGTACCGAGCCGGCCGAGGTGTCCTCCATCTCCGACTCCCTGGTACGTGTCGTCCCTCGTGTGTCCATTGGTGAACGATCACTTCTGACCCCAGTTGTAGTAAGTTGCAGGAGGCTTTGGACGACGGGGTTGGAGGCACACTTATTTATTAATACCAACTTGTATACAGTAACGGGAATACACAGCACTTGAAGGGGTATCGTCCCCTTCACTCGTCTAACAGGGAGACACCACGTCTAACCCCGCTAACCTACGCCCGAGTCCTCCACTACGGAGCTAGGGGAGGCTACCTATCCCAGCCCTGGTCAAGCTGGGATCCCGGCACCCTGAGTCTTCAGACCGGCTCTGATAAGAACGTCAGTCTGGGCTCGCGGGGCCACGCCACCGGCTTGCCCTGGTCGGTCCTGACAAGGACAGCGAGCCAGGGGAGCTCCGGGGCCTATTCTAGCTGGTCTTCACTCTTCGCTGGTTAAAGCTAACACTCGACCTCGAGCCCTCCGGCTCACCACCTTTTATAGCACTCGGCTCCCGGGAGGGGCCCGTGGGGGATGCAGGTGCGGACGTCGGTGTGAGCACCTCCTATGTGTACGGCCCTAACCACGCCCCTTGTGTTTGTTACCCATCCGTGCCCATACATCTTTACAATTACACCTCTACAGAAGTGCTGAGTGTATGGGTGGAAGTGCTGAGTGTATGGGTGGCAGTGCTGAGTCTATGGGTAGCAGTGCTGAGTCTATGGGTAGCAGTGCTCTGTCTATGGGTGCCAGTGCTGATTCTATGGACAGTGCTGAGTCTATGGTGCAGTGTTGAGTCTATGGGTGGCAGTGCTTAGTCTATGGTGCAGTGCTGAGCATGTAATGTGTCAACCCCACTCTCCGATGCTGCCACTTATTGAGGGTTTTCAGCGCGAAAAACACTCAGAGAGATACTTACCAGCAGCAGCGGCGGCAGCGGCGTCGTCGTCCAATCGGACGTCCACTCCGCGCGACATCTGACAGCCCAGATGTCCTGCGGCTTCTCGCTTGATGAGCGGAGACCCTTCTTCAGGCAAAGGAGCCTCGGACATCCTGAGCTGAGAAACACAGGGAACCACATGCTCACGAATGTAAGGCCCCACTGAGCGACCTGGCTATCACAAATGATAGCTCAACGAAGTGGCTATTATCATCATTAAGTAGTTAACCATACGAAAAACTAAACAATTTTATATTTTATCAGGTAAGGCCCCACTGAGCTGTGTAGCTCTTTTGCAAAAGCGACCCTGGCTATCACAAACGATAGCTTAACCAAGTGGGCTTATCACCATTACGTGGAAATGTATAGCTGCAGCCAAATCCTCTGAAGGTGTGGTGATGTTGATAATAAATGTTGGAGGGAAAAAAGGGAGGACCTGGAGAAAATTCCATGTCACCACCATAGAGAGAGACGCAAACTCCAAATATACAGTAGGCGTCTGGGTTGGGATCGAACCCACCCCTGTATACCAGGCGAGATGATGATGATTATATCAACCACTTGGTTGAGCTGCTATCATTGTATTGTGTTGTAAAGTATGTTTTGTGTGTATTGTGTGTATGGTGTGTATTGTGTCTTGTGATTGTCCCACATGATCCCTGGGACAGAGCAATCAAGAAGGCTGGAGCAAACACTCCTCACTCTGATTGGTTAGGGCACCGGGAGCAAGAGGATTGGCCAAAACATTCAAAAGGGAAAAGAGCTGGAGGTTTGGGTGAGCGTCAGGTGGGACGGTTAGGCCAGGTGAGGGTAAGAGAGAGGCGACGATTGATGGAGACAGAGTGCGACGAGGGGCGGAGCAAAGAAGAAGTTAAGAGAGGGAGTGGGTGAGTGGGTGGGTGAGTGGTTGGGTGGGTGGGTGAGCGTCAGGTGGGACGGTTAGGCCAGGTGAGGGTAAGAGAGAGGCGACGATTGATGGAGACGGAGTGCGACGACGGGCGCAGCCAGGAAGAGGTTAAAAGAGGGAGGGGAAAGGCAGAGTTAGGGGCGTTGCGGGAGAGATTGCGAGGATGGTGTGGACCTGTGCCATGAAATAAAGACCTTACCTTGTGGATAAAAATAAAAGGGCCAGAGTCTTCTTTCATGTGTATAGTGTGTATTGTGTTTGCTGTGGTATTGTGTATTGTGCATATCGTGTATATTGTGCATATGGTGCGTATTGCGTGTAGAGTGCATTGTTGTATTGTGTTGTATGTATTGTGTTGTAGTGTGTATTGTGTACCGTGTATATTGTGTATAGTGTGCATTGTGTATAGTGTGTAGGAGAGGAGGAGGGTTATTGTGTAGGGCGACTTTCACTGTCACTCACGGAATCACTGCAATATGTTGGCTCACTGGAATATTTTTCTTTTTGTGCGACTTTAACAAGGAACCTATCAAATGACACTTGCTTTTGCTTCCTTTTGAGGATTTCGCGGAAATGTGACATTGCATTGTCGTTAAACAGATTCATCACTCGCCCTGCTACAGCCTTATTCGGGTGGTGCTTTTCTACAAAATTTTGCACTGTTTCCCACATTTTACAGATCTCCCTAATCTCATTTGAAGTGAGGGATTCCTCCGTCTTTTTCTCCTCTTCCTCAGACGAGATCTCCTCCATAACCTTTTGCTGTTGCTCGCGATGCAAATCCATCAGTTCGTCGGTGGTCAGCTCCTGGCCATGTTCCTCCACCAGCTCTTGAATGTCGTCCTCATTCACCTCCAGTCCCATGGTCTTCCCCAAGTACACAATTTCATCGACAACTGGCGGCTCCTGTCCATGCGCAAACCCAACGCAATCAGACCACAGTTTTCTCCAAGCAGAATTGAGGGTTCTCTTGGTGACCCCATCCCAGGCATTATCGATGATCTTGAGGCAGTTTACGATGTGGAAATTATTTTTCCAAAACTCTCGGAGGGTAAGGTTTGTTCCTTCGGTCACCTCGAAGCATCGCTGAAATAGTGCTTTGATGTAAAGCTTTTTAAAGTTAGAAATGACCTGCTGATCCATGGGCTGGAGTAATGGAGTGGTATTGGGTGGAAGGAACTTGACCTTAATGAACTCGAATTCCTCCAGTAAGTCGTCCTCAAGGCCTGGAGGATGAGCAGGAGCATTATCCATAACCAGCAAGACTTTAAGTGGAAAATTATTTTCTAAAAGGTATTTCTTCACTGCGGGACCGAAGACCTCGTTGATCCACTCAATGAACAAGATACGAGTGACCCAAGCCTTGCTGTTGGACCTCCACATAACATTTAACTGGCTCTTCTGCACCTTGCATTTCTTGAAGGCTCGTGGATTCTCGGAATGATACACGAGCAGGGGCTTGACTTTGAAATCACCGCTTGCATTAGCACACAACAAGAGGGTGAGACGGTCTTTCATGGGCTTGTGACCGGGCATTGCATTCTCTTCTGCTGTAATGTAGGTCCTCTTTGGCATCTTTTTCCAAAAAAGCCCCGTCTCATCGCAGTTAAAAACTTGCTGCGGCAGGTAACACTCGGAAACGATGAGCTTCTGGAACTCGGCAGTGAACGCCTCAGCTGCCTTAGCGTCCGAACTCGCAGCCTCTCCGTGCCTCACAACACTATGGATGTCACTTCTCCTCTTAAAGTTATCAAACCATCCCCTGCTCGCCTTGAAGCCTTCTTCGTTTTCTGTCGACGTACCTGGCAGTTTACTTACGAGGTCAGCATACAAGGCCTTTGCCTTCTCGCAGATAAAGTTCTCGGTCACAGTATCACCTACTAGTTGCTTCTCGTTTATCCACACGAGAAGCAACTTTTCTACATCTTCTAGAACACGTGGCCGTTGCTTTGATACTCTTGTGACTCCTTTTGCTGCATCTAACTCCCTTATTTCTTCTTTCTTCTTTAATACTGTGCAAATCGTCGACGTAGACTTGTTATAAAATCTTGCGATGTCGGCCACTCGCATACCTCGTTCGTGCTTCTCGATGATTTCTTTCTTAACTTCCACCGTAATCATCTCCTTTTTCTTACCGCCTTCCTTTTCAACCTTTTTCTTCATGGGGGCCATTGTTGCAGTACAGTTACTAAAGAACAGTCACTACACTATAGTAAACAGTATACGCTCGCACGGATGTTGACTATACGAGTGAGGCACGCCCGAATTAGACCGAAGCATGGGAGACGATTACCCACAATCCCGCAGCGAGAGAGAGAAGAACCATCGGCTCAGTTGTGATCACGTGACGCTCGGCAGACAAAGCGTAGACGTACTACTCGTATTGCAAGACCTCGCTTGTTTATCAAGTTAAAATGTACAAAAAAAATTGCTCGTCTTGCAAAACACTCGCAGACCAAGTTACTCGCAATCCAAGGTTTTACTGTAAAATGATCAATATCATTATTCCATCATCATTATTATCATGATACCATCGTCATCATCGTTATTATACCGAGCACGGGATCACAGGCTTACGATGGACAACCGCTGAGCAAGAGGGGAGCAGCAGGAGAGGGAGTAGGAGGGGGAGCAGCAGGAGGGGGAGCAGCAGGAGAGGGAGCAGGAGGGGGAGCAGGAGAAGCAACAGGAGCAGGAGGGGAAGCAGCAGCAGGCCGAGTTGTCCTGGCCTCGTGAGTTCCGCAGCGAGAAGCCCCAACCTGGAGCAGGCGGCAGCTGATGCTGGAGGGGGGCGAGCGGAGTTCAGTCGCAGGACGACCTCCCTGCAGCAGCAGTAGCAAGAGGAGCAGCAGCAGGAGGAGCAGCAGAAGCAGGAGGAGCAGAAGCAGGAGTAGCAGCAGCAGGATGAGCAGCAGCAGCAGGAGGAGCAGGAGCAGCAGCAGGAGACGGAGCCGCAGCTTCGCTCCGCGACTCGCATTAAGTGGGACGGACTTTAGCAGCAATCCAGCAGAGGGCGCTAGAGCCGAGCCAAGCGGGCGGCTAGATCCAAGGACATCAGGGTGCTTGTGACTTGACCGATAGTGGGAATAATTTTGACTTAAAACTTTCGTTGACCGCAGGAATTAATATTCTTTGGTTCTTTCAGTAAAGTCACGTAGATATAAAAATAACGATAAAAAATAAAGTGAATAATTTTTAAAAAAATAAAAATTATAAAAAACAAAAACCACTAATGTAGACTGTAGCCTGGTTCTTAATTAAGCTTTTTAAGCTTAATAATCATTGCTACAGTCTACATTATAGACTGCCAGTACACTCACTCAGATGAAGAACCAGGCTACAATCTACATTAGTGGTTTTGTTTTTTTATTATATTTTTCATTTTTTATTCATTTTATTCAGTATTATTATTTTTCTTCTATTTACGTGACTCTGTGATATGTCTGTTTATATGTCTGTCTATATGTCTCTGGTTCTGTGTTTTATCTCTCTCTCAAATTTAGCATTCTCAGGAAGAACGTAATCAACCAGGTAGGGTGTTGACTGTTATGTTATCCGACTCTCTGTTGTATTACATTACATTTCAAAGTATACTAGATTTGTGTTTCTATTTCATTTATACCTGATGATGATTGCTTGTGTTGCAATCGAAACGTCGTATGCTATTATTTAATTTATTAATTTATCTTTATACGTGACTTTACCGAAAGAACCAAAGAGTAATTTACCGAAATAACCAAAGAATAGTGGGAATGATGGTTATATTCTTAGGTTTTTTTCGGTAAAGTCACGTAGGTAAAACATTTTAATTAATAAAAGTAAAATAAAATAAAAATCACGACGTTTCGGAGGCAACACATGCTTCCGTCTTCAGGTGGAACCGTCACAGCCACGACAGCTGTATCAAGTAAATGAGAGATTACAAGAGCTACCACTCCGTATATATAATGGTTGAAGAGGGGAAGGGCCAAGTACGGCACACTTTTTTATTAATATGGTAAGGTGAGGCTTAAGACCAGGGGCGGTTTCTTCATTAGGGCGATTGGGCGACGCACCACCAATGTCATTCAACCACAGAGTCACGCTAGCCGTCACTGTGCCTCTGGATATAGTCCAATCAGCGTCATGTCACGTTCTGTGGAGTACCGCCTCTTTTTGGGCGATTTCACTCCGGCTGAGAATCGTCCCGAGTGGCCCCATAGACTTACATTCAAAGATGTTTTTTTTCGAATGGCGGGCGCTCCAATGCATTCTCTATGGCTTCCGGGAGGGCATGCACTAACGTGCTTACGTCATCATACGTGCTAACGTCATCGTACGTAAGCACGTTTCATCCAACAATATAATTTATCGCCACCTAGTGGAATCTTTAATAAAATAAACTTGAGTGGTTTGTTTTAATAGTGAGTATATAAACAAACAAGATGTATTGTAAGAGTCACTTTATTTTTCATTAATAAAGAAGTGAAGTTGCCTTTACATGCTTAAGCTGTTAATTTATCCATTGCATGGGTGGACCTTATCCTTATCAATCATCCAGACATTTGCCCCCCCTGAGAGATTTTGCAGGAGCCGCCACTGCTTACGACTAAGAATAGACTGCATAACAAAAGACTGAGCCTTTGTTATGGAGAGGTGCGGTTTGTGACTACGCCTGGCCTACATAACAAAAGTGTGAAAAAAGAAAAAACTAAACCTGGTAAAACAAAACTTGCTGTCTATCAATAACCTGTAATAGTTGTCTGTCAAATAAGATGGTCCAAATAAGTGTAGTTAAATCTTTTTTGCATGGTTAATCATGTCTTTCCAATGATTACTCAGCTTGTAACCATCATCACAGTTGAAAGGTGTGAGCGAGCCGGTGCGAGCGACAACATCTAACCGCGCAGAACGGGAGTGGAGCCGTGTCAGACTGAAAAGCGCAGAGCTGTTCAGCTGTCGAGGAATAAATAATAAAGAAGACACAATTCACAGATCGTCGTCGCAGTGGTTTATTACACATTGATTATATTGATGTATTTTATATTTATTTTTTTCACATCGGTTTATTGTATGGTAGTTGGGTAGTTGCAGTTCTTTAGCGTCAATATGGTAAATTCCTCTGTCTGCAGCCGTCCCCACTCAGCATGTGTGAGACCCACCGTGCCATCACTAGGCGCAGCCACTGCGAGTGGTGCTGCATCACCGGATGCCGCCACAACTTGAGGCGAACCAGCCAGCAATGGCTTACATTTGCCCGCACCCATAGAACACACACACTGGTTAGTCAGTGGCAGGCGGGACAGCGCATCTGCATTGCAGTGCCGCACACCCTTCCTGTAGAGGACAGTGAAGGAATATTCCTGCAGTATTCCCAGCCAGTGAGACAGCTGGCCGGAAGGCTGGTCAATACACAGGGAGTATTGGAGGGCCGCGTCATCCATGTGCACAAAAAAAGTCCCGTCCATAGAGGTACGGCCGAAACTGTTGGACAAAATCAACCATGGCCAACAGTTCCCTGCACGTCGCATAGTAGCGCTGTTCTGCGGGGGATAACACACGGCTACCATAGGCCACAACTCTCTCCATGCCGTTTACGACCTGGGACAGCACAACACTATCCAAGTGTCGCTGGCATCCGTGTCCAAAATAAAGGGCAGAGAGAAATCGGGGTAGCCGAGAGGGGGCGCGTTGGCAAGGACACTGATATCTCTGGCCCTTAGCAGTCAACGCATGGAGCAGGTTTGGCGATCGTTGAAAACTTCGGGACAAATGGGCAATAGTAGGACGCAAACTCGACAAAACTGTGAACCTCACCCACTGACTTGGGGGTTGGCCACGTGCACATGCACGCAATTTTATCGGGATCTGTTGCTATCCTGGACGCACTAACAATATGAACCAGATGTCGCACTTTAACAAACACTGACCACAATCGACGCAAATGCTCCTTAAATGTAAATCCGAACACAATGATGTCGCCCAGGTAAATGATGCATGAGTCCCATTGGAGACCAATTCCATCAGCCAAACTCCCGCCATTTGCGGCAACGCAAGCACTCGCGACCGGGCTGAGGCAACAGGCTTGTGGTGGAAACAGATAAAAAATGATATCTGAAATGATTGTTGCCGAATCTCTCATGTCGACCAGAACCCTCACCTCTACATACTGAATAAACCCAACTACAGCCAACGAACCCACCACAGCTGTGAAAACATGGCGCGTCAACTCACTCCACTGCTTTACACAACACGGCTACCCCTCCGACGCCGGAGTCCGCTGCCTGCGCACCACGACAAGATGAGGGATGGCGACGTGCGAACCGGAAGAGCGTCATGAATGAGATGCGCGTCACGACTGAGATGCGTAAGGTGACAATTGCGCCTGAGTGTCTGATGTGTTGCGACTTGCCTGTGAGGCCGGGAGGCAGATGTTGGCGGGGCGTAGGACGTTGAAGGCGAGGTGGACAATCGATCACTGTTCCGGCACCCCTTTGGCGATGTGGGCCTACTGCTCTGGCTGCCATCCCTTGACTCTCCTCCCATGTAGGCCCTGGATGAACAAAGCGCAGACCCACTCCGGCTCCCTCGGTGCAGGCCCCTCCAGATCCGCAGGCTCTCTCGCACCAGCAGCCACTCTGAGCCACTACCGCAGGTTAAGGTGCGCCTATATACAATGGGCCACCTTCAAGGATGACAGGTCGTCTTCCTCCATGACAGAGAGGGCGGCACTCAACTCCTGTGCCAGTGACAGCAACCTCTCCAGTGCCAGGGAGTCGAGCGCCGCCCGATCCATGTGAGCATAGGCTGCTGTTCCTGCACGGAAGGCAACCTGACCGTCGGGAGGCCCTGCACCGTGACTTCTCCAACGGGTGAAGCCGCAGCAAGCTAGATGACCAGCTGTGTGGTGGAGGATAGCAGCAGCCCGAGGCGCCCAGTGAGCTCGTGCCACCCCTCCTCTAAAGGCAGCAGCGAAGAACCGGCATGCTGCTCCCGTTGCTCTGCAGGTGCCATTCCCGCGGAAACCATGATCAGGGTCCCGGACTCCGGGGCTGTTGGGGGGATAACATCCTCGCTGTCCTTATCCTCTGACAACACTACAGGCGGGTTCTTCCTCTTTGCTGATTTCGACATGAAGACTTCCTTCTTGACACTTTTGACACCAGATATAGTGACACAGTTTGGATACAGGGATAGTTTACGGCACCGTCTTTATTCTCACATGCAAGGGGCCTACAACCACCCTATGTGGTTACATACAAATTATATATATCGCACATTTGTCTAATTCGACGGCACTATTTTTCTAGTACAGTTGGCTGGCTGTCTAGCTAGAGATGGTCAAGACGGCAGTGACGAAGGTGATGAACAGCAACACAGCGAGGGGATCCACTTCCAGAAACATCCCCGAGCTCTCACCCAGTACTCCCTTTTATCCTCCTGGCGTTGCCTCGCTCTGCCCTTGCCACGCCCCCCTTCTGCAACTTACTAGCAGGTTCCCGGGGCTTCCAGATGGACCCCTTCCTGAGCTTTCCCTTAGTTTTCTTTTCCCCCGTAGAAACTATCCCTGCTGACGTGTATACTGCCCTCTGCTGTCAGTACCACTTTCTGTCAGCAGCCAGCGCTATTACTCTATATATGTATGTGGAATGACACCCGACAGTATTTATTTCAGCACGATACACGCGCAGATCTTCAAGGATGCCCTTCACTCCAAGTGTTTCAAACCCTCTCGCTTCTCCCCTCTTATAGATCCCTGAAGCCCCTTTCTCTAAGGCTCCTTCACCTTCCACCTTCCCTCCAGTAAATCACCTTCAACTTTCTCTAACGGATCCCAACCGACCTCCCTGTCAATCATCCTACCGTTTCCAGCTATTTCCATTTGTAGTTCTCCAATACCTTCAGTATTCTTGCCTCTAACCAATCCCCTTTCAGGCCCGTTAAGTACCAATCAGAGGCCTTGTTTTAACTTTTTGATTATCCGTGTCACATGGTGTTCACAACGT